TTCAAAGTCGTATCCTTTTTATGCGTTCCATCAATATTTCCCATATTAGCTGCTTTTCGGGGAAGGTTAGGTGTACTATATTCGTCTTCTATCATCCTTGATAATGCATCCGCATTATGCGCTCGTCCTGCCCAATGGATAATTGTAAAGTTATAAGGCTGGAGCTGTAAGATCCAACAAGCCCTCTTACCCTTTAACACACTAGTTTGGAGCCACTTTAGAGCCGAATGATCAGTGACAATAACGAAGGGCTTATAACCCAGGTAATAGTGAAAATATTCAACCGCCCAGACCACTGCATAACATTCTAACTCAGTGGTCGAATAATTTCTTTCGGGCCAGGTTAGGCTTTTGCTGGCATAGGCAACGACATACTCCCTCCTATTACAGTCTTTTTGTGACAATACAGTGCCAAGTCCAACACCCGATGCGTCAGTATGCAGATAGAATGTTTTTTTGAAGTCAGGGTACCTTAGGATCAGGGCTGTTGTAAGGTGGGTTTTCAATTCATTGAAGGATTGCTCCTATTCATTTTTCCATTCATATCTGACTCCTTTTTCTAATAACTTATGCAATGGCTTGGCTATTGTGGCAAAATTTTTGATAAAACGTCGATAATAAGAGGCCAGACCGATAAAGCCTCTTAGCTGTCTCAGGTTAGTTGGAGTTGGGAATTCTTTAACTTTAATCACCTTATTTTCATCAGGCTTTATTCCCTCTATTCCTACAGTATGTCCTAAAAAACTAATATTATTTTTAAATAGATCACATTTTTCAGAGTTCAACTTTAACCCGGCAGTCCTTATTCTAAAAAAAACATTTGCTAGGTGGGTTAAGTGGTCCTCATATGTTGAGGAATAAATTATTATGTCATCTAAGTAAACTGCCACATATTGCCCTATATATTCGTGTAGGATATAATTCATGGTCCTTTGAAATGTAGCCGGGGCATTGCACAATCCAAAGGGTATAACGTTGAATGCATATATGCCTTGCTTGGTTATGAACGCCATTTTCTCACAATCTTCGGGTTTCATTAATATTTGCCAGTATCCGCTGGCTAGATCAAGAGATGAAAACCACTTAGCCTTGCCAAATGTTTTCAATAAATTATCGATACGGGATAAGGGGAATGCGTCCTTCTTTGTAACGGCATTCAACTTTCTGTAATCGATGCATAACCTAAGTTTACCATTTTTTTTGGGACGATCACAACCAGCGAAGTCCATGGGCTTTTGATTTCACTAATTAATTTACTTTTCAACATTTTTTCTATTTCTTTGTCTAGAAAGTCTTGCTCATCTGGCGAAACTCAGTATACTGTTTGCTTGATGGGTTTCGCACTACCAGTATCAATTTCGTGCTGAATCTCATAGTACTGGCCTAATTGCCTAACCCAGAAGAAAATGAGCCGCCGAATTCCTTTAAGATACGTAGGGCTTCGGTCTGCTATTTTTCATTTAATGTTTTGACCTTTACTAATTCGCTAATAAAATCAACAGGGGTGGATTCGGGTTTTTTAGTAGCTTCCAGGGTGAAGATTTCTTCAATAGCAGTTAAGTATATGGCAGGGCTATACACATCTTCCCAGGGGTTGAGAAACAATTCTTCATTATCTGTTGAAATGTCATCAGTGTGGTAACTCTCGACCTCCTCTAGGTCATCTTCGCTTTCGTAAGTATTAAAGAAGTCATCCTTATTGCTACTGTACGCTTCTTGAGGAATTTCTAATTTGTCTTCACATGTTTGAATAATAGGAATTTCGTTACTTTTTCCTAGATACCTAAAGAGTAATTTTTGTTCATCGAAATGGATCCGGGCCCGGACTTTTTGGAACCAGTCAATATCAAGCAGCATTGTCTCATCTGGGATTCGATAACTTGAAAATTTGTGGGACCAATACACTACCAAC